CGCAACTAGGTTGATCGGGAACCCACCTGCATATTGGTTGAGGGTGAGCCTGTATATAAGGATTTGGGGGAAGATTTGGGGAAACCTGCAGTCAGCTGAGACTGAAGACGTCACTCGGATGAGTGACGAAACATTTCTCCCACAAAACGCTGCGTCCAGATGAACAGAATCAACTTTTGGAGATTTACTTTCCTGGATGATTGAGATGCGTCAAGATGTTAAATTTGTGATTGACATGACATTGACCAATCAGCTGACAGGAAGAAAAATGGGGTCAAAACTTGTAACTTGTAATTTGAGTGCAGAGTTTCACATATATTTTTTGGCTAAGTCCACACAAAAATCTTTTTTTACACACACACAAATTCTTTTTACACATACAAATCCTGATTTACAAGTACAAAATATTTATGACCACAATTTGAGCCCATACAAGTGGGCCATCACTAATAGATGGCTATTTATTAGGATCTGAAATCTGTGAAATACGGCCGTGGGAAGCCGCATCAGCCAGTTTGTCAGAGCAGGATGGTTTCTCGGACCAGGCGAGCTATCTCACCACGAGCTCCGGTAAGGGATGCTACATGAATGTTAGCGCCATAAAGACATGTAGTTGACTGCTGTTAATATATGTCCTGTTTAAAAACAGCCAGTCGGAGTTGTGATATTTATGTTTAAAGTACTGTAACATCACTGATGTGTAAATATTCAATTTTAAGTGCTAAGGAATATATTAAAATGTGCTCGGGCCAATAGTTAACCGCTAGTATTAAGCTGCTGCTTAGCGATTTCTGTGTGTTCTAACATTACTGTGATTCAGTTGATTTAGTTAGCTTTCCAAAACATTGGAGGAGCAGTAATATCGTCATGTAGTGTGTAAATGCACCATTTTTAGTTTTGTTGACTTAGAAGTTAACTCATTTGATGAAGATGCAAAAAGTTCATATAATGTGAGGGATCTCATTACTCTGTTGAAGTATTAATGTTTAAAGAAGTTGATATATTTTTCTGAGAAATAATTCAAGTTGAAATATCTTAAAAAGAAGAACAGTTAAAAGCAAGCTGTTGAAAGGATAAATATGGGAGAGTGGATCTTACAAGTTGATTTATTCTTAAAAGGGTAAATATAAGGGTTAGGTAATAAGGTATATTTTCTGTTGCACTAAGACCTTGTGTGATGTAACTTAAGTTATTTCATGATGGTTGAGACGCTGTATAACTAAAATAATTTGTTATACTTGAGCAATACTTGACTGAAAGATGAGTGATGGAAAAAACATAGATAAAATAGTCATGTATTGGGGCGACCGTGGCTCAGGGGGTTGGGAAGCGTATCTGTAACTGGAAGGTCGCCGGTTCGATCCCCGGGCTCTCTGTCCTGGTCGTTGTGTCCTTGGGCAAGACACTTTACCCTACCGCCTACTGGTGTTGGCCAGAGGGGCCGATGGCACGATATGGCAGCCTCGCTTCTGTCAGTCTGCCCCAGGGCAGCTGTGGCTACAACCGTAGCTGCCTCCACCAGTGTGTGAGAGTGAATGAATAGTGGTATTGTAAAGTGCTTTGGGTGCCTTGAAAAGCGCTATATAAATCCAATCCATTATTATGTATGCACTCTGAACTGTGTGCATAGATTGGTTTTTGACCAGGACTGGATCATTCGAGATCTGAACCCTGTGGGTTAAGTGGCGAGCCAATCCCAAGAGAGTGACTGTCGACGGACCAGAGTGCGGTGTGGCCAGCCGTGGGATCCATCTTCAGCGAACCTCAGGACTATTACTACCTTCCTTGATACAGATAAGACTAACACTTTAAAAATCTACCCGGGTAGTGTTAGAACCAATGGACAGAAACACACACACACACACACACACACAAGGAACTCTAATTTCTCTTCCCAAAGAGAAGTGGAGCAACAGGAGCAGAAGCTCTTTAATTGAAACTCTTTGGAGAATTTCCTTAAAGAGGATGTTTGGTTTTGATTTTATTTTTGGACCCTTTAATGTGCGTTTGTGCACTGTAGGAAGCCGGCTTTAGACAGGCAGGGTTTGTAAACTTTACAACTTTCCATACAGTTTCTATTCAAATCACATCGTATCTATCACTGAGTGGTTCCTTCTCTGATCCTTTCAAGGCTCCATAGTCTTACCTAGAACTTTCTGATACTGGTCCAAAGTTGTCGAGACAATAATTTAATGTGTATCTCATATTATTTAATTGTAATACCTGTTACAAAAGTGGTGTCAGATAAAGGATGGATATCCTGGATAGACTTCACTTGTGTTGTAGCAGTGGGCCCAGGAGAACAAGAGAAGGATGAAGACTACAAAGATGGAGGAAAGCAAGACAGAGGGAAGAAGGACGGATCGTTGGTCTGTCAGTTTTTGTGCTTCTTGTCCTGCTTTTGTTTTTTTCTTACAATGAAAACTTTGTGTTACCACGGTGTCCGTATATCCACAGATAAGAATAAAATATAATATATATAAAACTCTACTTTTGACCTGTTGTATTATTTTTTCTTCTCTCACGATCATAATGACGTAATTAAACTTCACTCTTTTTATTTCAATAATCATGTTCTGCAAATATTGTGTTGACTGTATCAGTGCAGTAAGCTGAAGCTGAGGTTCTTCATCATGTGTAACGTTTTTATCAAAGATTTACGTGTTTGTGAGCAGATTTTATTGTTTTAAACGATTTTACACTATTTTTATTACACTGACTGAACAGCACTGTCTTTACCAAACAGCCGGTCTGCTACAAGCTGACAGTATCACACACTGTCCAGGTCTGTTAGCAAACTTTGATCTAAGTTTAGATTTGATGACTCATTTTACACGTCGTAGCCTTTAAACGTTGATGAGCGAGTGAATGAAATGTAGGATAATAGAAAAAGAGCATTTAGTTCTATTCAGACATTTGAAGAAATTGAGACATTTATAAGCTGTCATTACATTATAAAGTAACAGGAAGGTGATAATTTACCAAGAAAAATTTACTAGAAAACCAGCAACAAAAAGCTGCAAGAGCGCAGACAATACTGGGATAAAACACGCCTTCAGATCTGTATGTGTCCATCTCATCTCCAAACTCTCCTCTTCCCACAGATAAGAACAGAAACAGAATTAGCTCAAGCACGTTATTTTGATAAATACATTTTGATTCATGAAGTTAATTCATTATACTTTGACATGATTTTTTTTGTGATTATTATTTTTTCAATTATGCGTTTGCTTCTGTCCTGCTAAATTCTAAAAGTTCCTGCAATTAAAGTCTAATTGTGGACGTTACATTCTTATTCCTTTGTGAAGCAGTAAACTATTGTAAATACGTTACTTGTAAGTAACTTCACAGAATTGTTATATTGTACTTTTTACAGATGTTCCTGTAAAACAGTCTAAATGTAACAAGTACAGCAGCACTGATGTTATCAGTTTGAAAAGCTTCCTCCATGAAAGGCTAAAGAAGAATAACATGATGCTAGAACATCACATTTTATAACGTGACAGTAAAAATAACTCAGATTGCCTTTGATGTTTTCTTCCACAATCAGAGCTCTGAGCTCCCTTCATTCAGAGGGAAGTGCAGAATCCTTCAAAGTAAAAGCCTTTCTGGTTTGGATAGCTCTGCACTGCTGAGCATAAGTGGGCTGAGCCTGGGTCCAGCTACATGAGTGGTGTCTTGTTTTGGTGAAGCTTTTGAATTGTTTGGCCTTTGAGGCCCGTGTGGAGCTCATAGAGTAGGCTGACACTAAGCGAGACCCACAGTGGGGCCTGCAGTGGGCGTAACACAGTATACAGATCATACATAAAGCACCTGTCTGTCTGTCACATCAGTGTTTATTTATAGCTTTCCACTGAAGAGGAAGAAGTGTTTTCTGTTTGAACCATGTACCGAAACAACTCCTCCACATTATGTGGAAAACTGAGGGAACCCGCTGAGCAGCTCCTCCACACTTCACCTCAGTGATGCTTTTATTTTATAACACAAAGATTTAATCATTTATACGTTTGTGGTTTCCTGTTTGTTGCACTAAGAGCAGAGGTGTTCAAGCTTGTTCCACATGAAGCTGCTCAGCAGTTTGTTTGCATCAGCTGATTCAACAGATCAGTAAACTTGTGCTGAAAATAACTTTACTTCACAAACAAATGAAAAAAGGATCATCGGGAAGCTCTTGTGTGCTGTGATGCTTGTTGATTAACTGAGCATTAATAAGAAAAGTGACACTCAGCTCCACATCGCTGCTCTGCTTGAACTTCATCTCACCTGGGAACAAGTGACGTGAACAGAACAGCGCTCCGAGCGCGCTCAGAAGCTCCTTTGTCCTCACTGCATTTCTACCTCCAGCTACACCTGAAAAGTGCCGTTTAGTTTGTGCACTGAGGCCTGTGGATGAGTGATGCCGATTCAGGACCACAGTCAGATGTCAGACCTCAGGTTTGAGGGTTTATCATGTGTATGTTTTTGCTCTACTGAACCTGAGGAAATGTACATGTTAGTGGTTAAAGGAGCGAGCGGTTCTCATACTCCTGTTAAAGAAAAGAAAATCCCCCACCCGCAGCTCACTTCCTCTCAGCTGAACTGCTCACACCTAAAGGAAAAAATGCAGCTTGTGTTTTTCTTCCCACCAGCTGGAGACTTAATTTACATAAGAAAACATGTTTTAGGTTCAATACTTAAAAAAAACCAAGACAAATAAAAATTTATGAATCTTTCAGATTAAAAATAGAAATTTCAGGTTCTTCGCTTAAACGCACAAAAAAAAAACCATCATTATTTTCCTGTCAGTGAACGCACCATGCACGTATCATCTGTGGCTGTTTTCTCTTCATATTAACCTTTTTTTAAGTTTTATCTCTTCTTTGTTACTTTATGCTGCAAAACTAAAGAAGCTGGCAAGAAGGTAAAAGGTGAGAAAACCACAACAGAGTCAATCACAGGAAGGAGGAGGGTTTAAAAGACGTGAGCATGAGCGGACCAGAGTGTTGGTAACATTTCCGAGACACAGGATGGAGGAAACAACGCTGCTGTGTCTCCTCTGTAAGTACAATATGTTTTTATGGATGCTGAGATTTAACAATAACCTCAGAAACTCAATGTTCAGCAAGTTTGCGGGTTTATAACATGTCAGAGTGTAAAGCTGGTCTGCAGGTTTTGCAATAAATGTTCTAAAACAGTCGTCGTGTTCAGAGTTTTTAGGATTTTTGAGAGAAGATATGAATCCCTTTCTCCTGCCCTAATCTAAGGTTGAGTTCAGAGTAAATGATATCACTGGTAACCGATGTTTGCAGTATTAAACAATCACACCTTATCCTTCAGGCTGATCCACACCTATCTACGTTTTTAAGATCTCTTTCCTTTTGGTATTCGCAAGTTTCTGAACATTTGCCTAAAACATAATCGAAGCCGACTTTAGTCACAAACCAGGTTAAAGAGTTTAAACTTTGGCAGTAAGAAGGAGAGGGACAGTTATGAACTGGAACAGACCAGACAGCCCCACACTGAGAGAAGTGAAGTGGAAAATGTTGGTGTCACTGTCGTCTTCATGAGTGTGAAACCTCAGACTAACCTGCTGCTTTCTTTTAGTTCTGACTGCAGTGCTGATCTGCACGACACACCAAGGTCAGTGAGCTTCTGTTACCAGTGTCTGAAAGTCAGAAATAAGCAAAATGATCTCATGTTTTGTGCATTTATTGCTGCTGATGTACTGACGGTCAGGCTGTGGTGCAGCTCTAAGACACCACATCCTCTCTGCAGCTGTCATGCAAAGACTTTCCAGCTTTAACCGCTGCCTGAGCAAGAAGGAAGAAAGAAAAGACCCAAAGCTTAAAATCTGTATGTTTGCTGCTCTCTAGAAATGTTTGTGGGTCTTATAGACAAAACTGATAAACTATCCCACAAGTACAAAATAACTTAACGTGGAAACAAGTTACAAAGATGTTGATTCTGAAAGATGTTTAAACAACATTAAAACTGAAACTTTATTTCTTTGGAAAAATATTTTCATCTAAATTTCATGGAAAAAAATCAACACTTCTGCAAATTCATGAACAAAGTCAAACCCACGCTCCCTCGTGTGAGGCACCAGTGCTAACCCCATGATGCCCACACACGTGGAAACAACAACGTTCAAGTGTTCAACTCACATCTCAAATGCACAGTGACAGAAACATCATTTACATGCAGATACATACGCTGCTGTGCAGCAACACCAGTCTGTGTATCTTGGGTGGATGTTGTTACAGGTGCTGGGTCATTTGTCCAAATCTTTGATGTATTTCATGGGATCTAACTGTTAGAGAGGACAGTGGCTCCTTCTTTTAATAGCCTCTCAGAACTTTAGCACAAAAACAGCCAAACAGAGTTTGTTGCAGTAAAGCTCCTTCAAGCCTGCTCATCTCTGCTACCTGATGAAAAGCAGTTCAGGAGGTCGACTCAAATACCAAGCAGAGCAGAAGGGCAGTTAAGAGTAAAGCAGGGTGATGGGACTTTTCTGGAGGTTGTGGAGGCGGGGCACGTCAGATAGATGAGAAGCATGTCAAAGAAGAACGAGGCGAGGACCCTCCAGTGGTTTGACAGTCAGCTGGTGACAAAGGCAGTGAAGACCCTGTGGAAGCCTGGCAGGAACATGGTAGCAGTCCAGTCCTACTCTTGGATATAACAACAGACAACACAGGACCATCCAGCACACCGGCTGCTCAGGTTCGACCCACTCAGGACACTCAGTGTTTGAGGTTGGCCAGCTCAGGACATTTAGGCAGCTTTGGACGCTCAGGCTCAAATAACAGTGGCTCAGTGTCTGGAGTGTTCCCAGGCAGAGCGGCAGACAGATGCTTGTGAGAGCTTCTTCTTTAAAGAGGGCGCAGGTGGAACGAAGGCAGTTGGCTCATAGCTTCACCGGTGAGGACCTGATATGAAGCAAACTGGAGTGCTGAACAACTGGACCCTGTAAGGTCCTCACAGTAAGACTTCCTCACAGACTGGTGGAAATGAGGCTAGAAAGCTGGGCAGCCTGGATGACACTGGAAGGCTAGACGTGGTTCTGGATGTTGCCCCCGGTCAGTTGAGTCCAATAAGAGGGAAACCAGTTTATGATGAAAATCTCAGGTCAAGGATGTTTCTTTTTCTTTGTAGAAGAGCAGGTTGCGAAGCAGGGCTAAAATCAGAGTCTTCCTCCTCTTATATTTGTTCTTCTATTTGAGTTATGGACGAGTACACACTTGAAATATTTGGCAGCTGTAGCAGTCGCGGAAAATTCCCTCTGTGGCAGAAAATCCTCACAGATGCAGTCTTGATACCAATAGATGGATAAAAACTGGAGGAAATCCTCAGAGGCCTTGAAAACTCCTAAATGGAAGTAGCTTCTTCTGCTGGGTCTATTCTGTTGGTCTGACACTGGCTTCCTTCATTGGCTTCCTGTTAAATCCAGGAGTTGAATTCGAAATCCTGCTCCTCACATACAAGGTCTTAAATAATCAGGCCCCATCTTATCTTAATGACCTTGTAGTACCATATCACCCTATTAGAGCACTTCGCTCTCGCTCTGCAGGCCTACTTGTTGTTCCTAGAGTATTTAAAAGTAGAATGGGAGGCAGAGCCTTCAGTTTTCAGGCCCCTCTTCTGTGGAACCAGCTTCCAGTTTGGATTCAGGAGACAGAAACTCTTTTCTTTTTTGCTAAAGCCAATAGTTAGGGCTGGATCATCCCTTGGATACAACAGTCTCAGGCTTCTAGGGAACAGCCAATGATGAAGTGAGATTTTTCACTTCCCTTGTGTTTCCACTACAGTCATCATAGTTTCCACACTTTAATTACAGTACCGAATATCTATCTATCTAAAAAACAAGAACTGTGAGCGCAAGTTTGAATTTATTTTGGATTTCCTTTAATCCAGAGTGAACTGTACACAGTGCCTTGAAAAACTTTGATTTTGTTGGTCTTGAACTTTTACACTTTTGTTATCTTACAATCAAAAACATAATTTTTATTGTGATTTTCTGTGACAGACCAACACAGAGTAGCACACAATTGTGAAGTGGTACAAAAAAGAAAAAGAAGATGCATGGTTTTCAAAATTTTAAGCAAATCAAATCTGGTTTGCCGTGTTTTGGATTCTGCATCAATACTTTGTAGGGCCACCTTCCTCTACACGTCTTTGAGGTATGTCTCTACCAGCTTTGCACATCCAGAGACTGAAATCTTTGCTCATTCTTCGTTGCAAAACAGCTCAAGCTCAGGCAGATTCGATGGGGAGCGTCTGTGAACAGCAGTTTTCAAGTCTCGCCACCGATGGGATTTAGATCTGGACTTTGGCCATTTTAACACATGAATATTCTTTGGTCTAAACCATTCCATTGTATCTTTCGCTGTATGTTTCCAGTCATTGTCTTGTTCAAAGGCAAATCTCCTTCCCAGTCTCAAGTCCTTGGTAGCCTCCTACAGCTGTGAAAACTATAATTTTAATCTCAGCCAAACTGATTTACTCAGGAACAAATAAAACACTGAAAAAAGTCAAACAATAACATTTTTCAATTATCCAAGTGACTTTTATATCATGTTCAACCCGAGCAGCGAAAGAATGCAGGGGTCTGAAAATGATTTGCTGGGAATTCGGTGTTCTCGCCGTCTCTAGCAAGCCTTGAACCCCCAGCTAGCTATCAAGCTGGTGGGTATCAGACGTAACCAAAAACATTGGAGCACTTATGCAAAAATGATTACTTGCTGCTAGCAGGTTGTTAATGCTATCCTTCAAGTCTAAAACCAGCATGTTAATACGTGGAGATCCTGAAAGCTGCTCCAAATATGATCAATTATATTTTAAATATTTGTTCAATTCAAATCAGTTCAAATTCTTTTTTTCTTTCTTAAAGAAATCTTGTACATCACGTATATTTTTTATGCCATGTGTCATTCCATTGCAAATAATAATCACAAATGAATTAAGAGGAGATGGCTGCAAAAACTCAGGAGCTGTGATTTCATCACACACTGCGTTCTAGACACCGTATAAACTTGTGAAATCCGGCGAAAACACAAGTACAGACGGGCGTACATGAGTATTTGGCCTAACAGTCTGCAGTCTATGAACTAACCTCAGCTAACGCCAGCTAACAATGTTAGCTCGTTCGCGAGTATCCTTCACTAATAGTAATAACAACCGCAAAGCAATAGTATGTTGATCAGCCCATTTCCAATTAAGAAATGCATTCCTGCCCGTGCACTGCTGGCTCTGGGTCCATTGTGTAACTGACGCCACCAACAATAACAGGACGCTTACATTAGAGCCTTACTGTGTGTTTTGTTTCCAGCGATCAGAATCAGAGAAACTGTATTCATCCCATATGGAAATTGAGTATAGAAATATTTTAAAAAGAGGACACGTGTTTTTCTCTAACCCGCTCTCAGCCATGCTATATATGACACATGCCCAGCTAAACCCTCGCCCGACTGCTTTCAATCCACAAAATTGGAGAAGGCATAGAGAGGGGACAGCCAAACATATGGAACCGGAAATGACCACCATGTATTCTATTTATTTCAACAAAGTAACTGTATTCTGATTACCACCGATTAAAAAAGGTAATTCTAATGGAATACAGTTACATTTTGTATTTTAAATACGTAACACGGGTACATGCATTCTGTTACTCCCCAACACTGCCTTTGTTTGTCTGTCAACAATAGCTTTCTTCTTGCCACTGTTCCATACAGGCCAGATATGTGGAATACACACTCACAGTTGTCCTGTGGACAGACTCTCCCGCCTGAGCTGTGGATTTCTGCAGCTCCTCCAAATGGACAGTGGGCCTGTTATAAGCTTCTCTGATAAGTGCTCTCTTTCCTCGGTCTGTCAGTTTAGGTGGATGATCATGTCTTGGAGTGCTTTTTGTTTTGTTTTTTATATAACCTTACTATAACTTTATCTACATCTTTATCCCTGACCTGTCTGGTGAGTGCCTCAGTCCTCATGATTTGTTCATTAATGTTCTGTAACAAACTACTGAGGCTGCCACAGAGCAGCTGTATTTATAATGAGACTAAATCACACACAGGTGAGCTCTATGATCTAGTTAGGTGACTTCTGAAGGCAACTGACTGCACTGGATTTTATTTGGAGGTATCAGAGTACAGGAGGCTGAATACAAATGCACGCCACACTCTTCAGACTTTTTAAAACCATGTATCATTGTCATACAAGTTCACAATTATGTGCTACTTTGTGTTGGTCTGTCACAGAAGATCTCAATGAAATATTTAAGTTTGTGGTTATAAAGTGATAAAATGTGTAAAGAGGTATGAATCCTTTTTCAAGACATTGTATTTACACTCACTGGAATCTTTTGATAGTCGGTCCCACTGCATCATTTTTAGATCCTGGACCTCAGTACTACAGTAAGTGTGTTTGTGTCAGCCGTGTACGTCCACTTGTTGTTTCACAAATGTCTGTATCCTGACCTCTTCTGGTTGTTTGGTAGTATTGCATTTTCTTTCTGACACCATGTCTGACTTTAGTGTTTCTGGAAAGTAATTGTAATTAGATGTGCTCAGCATGAGAGGTTCAGTTATGAGCAGTGCATACCTGTTACTGTAGGAAGAATTATTCTTCAAATAATCAGCAGAAACATAAAATCAGTTTAATTAAACTGCAGTTTATTTACATGTCCATCAGCTTCAGAGACCAGTGAGGATCTTTAATTCAATTTAATAAAAATCACTGAGATGGAAGAAATAAGAATTTCCACTTTTACTTTTCATGAAGTCAAAGACTTGATTTTAAAAAAGTGAATACAATTCTACATTAGCTTAGAGTTAAAGGGTATACGTTGGTAAAATACAATTTATATATAAATAGGAAGAAAACTGTAGCTCACAGGTGTCGAACTCCAGGCCTCGAGGGCCGGTGTCCTGCAGGTTTCAGATGTATTCTTGATCCATCATAGGGGATTCAAATGGCTAAATTACCTCTTCAACATTTCTTGAAGTTCTCCAGGAGCCTGGTGATAAACTAATCATGTCATTCAGGTGTGTTGGCCAAGGGTGAGATCTAAAACCTGCAGGACAGCGGCTCTAGAGGCCTGCAGTTTGACACCCCTGCTGTAGATTATTGGAATAAATGACAATAAAATACATTTTTGACAGTACGACAGACAGACTCAAAGTGTGAGGTTCAGTGAGTAATGTCTGACTACTTTTCCTCACAGCTCGCCTGACTGTGAGTCCCAGCAGCTCTCAGCTGTTTGAAGGAGAGTTTGTGTCTCTGAGCTGTGAGGAGGACGACAGCTCTGCTGGATGGACTCTGAGGAGAAACACAAGCAAACGACAGAGGACTCGGTGTGGAGATGGGTGGGGAAAACCAGCTGGTTCGACTAATTCTTCGTGTAACATCAGCTACATCTTCACATTGGACAGTGGAGTTTACTGGTGTGAGTCCAGAGAGGGTCCCATCAGTAACATGGTTAACCTGACAGTCACTGGTAAGCTGAGTGTGTGGAGTTAGTGTTGATGAAGCTGTGTGTAAATGGATGAAATGCTGTAGTTTGTCTCTGTGTTGAGGTGGATCAGTGATCCTGCAGAGTCCTGTCCTCCCTGTGATGGAGGGAGATGACGTCACTCTGCTCTGTAAAACAAACACCACCGGCTCCAACCTCCCAGCTGCTTTCTATAAAGATGGTGTCTTTATTGGGAACCAGTCTACAGGTCGCATGACCATCCAGCATGTTTCCAGGTCTGATGAAGGCCTCTACAAGTGTGACATCAGCGGTCATGGAGAGTCTCCACCCAGCTGGATCACTGTCAAACGTGAGGAGCTTCACTCTGATTTCAGCTCTTTTTTTCATCAACACCTTCACCTAAACAGGTGTGATTCTCTCTGCAGGTAAACCTAAGACTGCAAACCCGCCCACTTCAGGAGCTCCACACCCAAACTCGAGTCATCTTCACTCTGACTTTGCACTGATGCGCTACCTGCTGGTGTTCTGTCCGTACTTCATCTCCACTCTTCTTATGGTGTCTTTATATCGACAGAGAGCCACAGGTAACACTCAACAATCAATGAACTGTGGGTGATTGAATTCATTTGTTAATATTTCATGTTAGAATAATACAATAACAATCATAATAACAAGAATCTGGATTTCCTTTCTGACCTCGTGTCTTGCAGGAGCTCACCTGAACTGAGGATGATGATGATGCTAACAAAGAGCATCACTTGTGAATTTCACCAACAATTCAAGAACTCGTTCACAAACAGTGAAAGCACACAGACGTGTGTTTAAGCTGAGCGTGTGAACACACAAATGCTCAGTGCCAGAGCACGCATCCACACAAATGATGAAGGCTCAGCTGTCCGACATACACCGATCAGGCATAACATCATGGGTGAAGGTAAAGGTGAAGTGAATAACACTGATTACCGCTTCATCATGGCACCTGTTAGTGTGAGGGCTACATCAGGAGTAGGTGAATAGTTAGTCTTTAAGTTGAGGTAAAGGAAAAATTCAAGTGTAGGGATTTAAACGAGTTTGAAAAGGGCTGAACTGTGAGGCTAGATGACCGAGTGAGGACATCTGAAAAACTGCAGGACTCGTAGGGTGTTCCTGGTGTGCTGTGGTCAGTCTTTATCAAAAGTGGTCAAAGGAAACAACAGAAAGAACCAAAGACAGGGTCATGGGTGGCCAAGGCTCATTGATACACGTAGGAAGTGAAGGCTGGCTCTGTGGTCCAAACCTTAGCTGCTGTAGCTCAGATTGCTGACATAAAGTCCTGGTTCTGATAGAAAGTAAACAGAAGATGGTATTGAGTATTGGTCTGCTGGGAAACAGTATTCCCTGATGGCTGTGACTGCCATCGGCAGGATAATGCGTCTTGCCATGAAGCACAGATGGTTCAGGAACTGTTTGAGGAGCACAACAACAAGTCTGAGGTGGTCTCCAAATTCCCCAGATCTCAACTCACACAATCATCTGTGGGACGTGCTGGACAAACATGTCTGACGTCCCACCTCCCAGCTGAGAGGACTTATGGGATCTTTTGTTAACACACTGCCTGTGTGGAGTCCATATCTTGATGACTGGGCTGTTTTGGCAGCAAAGAGGAGGGTAAACACAATATTAGGCTGGGGCTCATACTGTTATGCCTGGTCAGTGTATATCATCACATGAAATAATAAGAACAACCAGTTATTTAGCTTTTCAAAAAACAGCAATCTATGCAGATAAGCTAAATTGTATCTCTGGTTAATGTGAACAGATGAGGACCCAAAACTGATGTCTGGGGAACTCCTCAGAGTGGCCGGGCACCACACAAAGATATTCAGAGCAAGTTAAGGTGGAAACATCTTCAGACTGAAGACTCCTAAACTAAAGACTGTAAGCTTTGTAGCAGATCCACAGAGAGTGAGACAGCCAGCGCGCTGTTATCACGTCACTCACATTCAAACTACCTCCATAAATCAGCTTTAAATCCCCCTTAAACGGCAGGTTTACTGGTATACAACAGCACTGGTTTAACCTTTGGAAACAAAATTATTAAAGATTGCTGAATTCACATTTTATTCTGCATGTTTGCTTTCTTTATGGAACCAGCAGGAGCAGCAAAAAGCTCCAGAAAAACTCAAACTGGATTAAACTGTGATCCCAAAAGGAAACAGCCAGAGAAGAAGAAATCTGAGCTCTGTGTTTTCTTCTGGTTTTGGTAGAACTGGGCTAAAGACCTGTCTTTAATATTTAGTATTTTATGTTAGTAAGAACATAAAAGGAACAATTATGATGGGAAAACCAGAAACGAACAGAAAGATTTATTTCTTCTGTTATTTGTTCTTTTTTTTTTTTTTTTTGTCTTTTAAATGTTTGTGACTTTGTGACTTTGAGAGTTTGGAGAACCTGAAAAATCTGTATTTATTTTCTATGCTTAGGGGTATTTAAAGAGGAATAAAAAATGACTAAACCAAACAAACAGCTAACAGGACATGTGCATTCCAGATTTATTATTCACGACTATTTTATTTCTTGGAAACTTTCTCGTGTCATTTTTAAACTAAAATCTGAGTCACTGTCCAAATACATCTTTTTACTTGTTTGGGTCTCTCTCTTTTCTAAAAATTTATTTCTATTTCTAAACATAATGCTTTTGAAACCTGCTAGTGAGAATGCATGATGGTTAGATTCTTTCTACCCCTAATTCTAATACTTTTTTGCCCCACTGTATATCATTCGGATTGTCTACATTCAAAGGAACTACTTCCTCTTCCGCCTTTCATAGTCATGTGCGAAATACGGCTGTATAAATGTCTCGCAGCCCCTTGGCGCGCGTACTCCCAACAATGGCTGAGCGTAATTGGAGTCATGTGCGGACGTATTTTACCTCCACAAACAGCTGAGACGTGGTTTGCGATACGTGGCAAAAAAGTGCTCCAAGAGTGAGGTGTTGTAGCCACACTTGCCAACCTTGAGACCTCAGAATTAGGGAGACAATTCAAAAGGGCTGTTTTGGGGTGATAAATACATTTTACAGGGTTTATTTATCGGATAAAATACGTTAAATGTCACTGTTATTATTGGCCGGCCTGGAAACAGCGGGGTGTCCAAATTCAGAGGCTGCTTCCACCTGAGGACCTGGCCTTCGCGGTCTAAAGAAAGCCGGGTAGTACGTTACGAGCTCCCTCGGTGGAGTGAAACTCTGTCGTCTGCTCCTTGCTATCTAAAATATAACCGGGCGCTGACGTAAACTCTCAACCGTCTCACACTTCTGTTTAATCAGTTTTCTGTTTGACGTTTATTCAGCTGTGTGAAAACCCCGGAGGAACCCTCCCGAGGGATTAATAAAGTTAAATTTAATTTAATCTAATCTAATAACTTTAATCTCAGCCAAACCGATTTACTCACAAACTAATAAAACACTGAAAAAGCCAAACAATAACATTTTATTGTTATCAAAGTGACTCATATATCATGTTTAACCCGAGTAGTGAAAGACCGCGGGGGTTTGAAGACGATGTGTCGGCTCAGATATTTGAAGTTTACACAGCTACATTCTCACCTGAAAATATGTTAAAGGTTTTTTTGCGACCCAGAAAGAGAAATAAGAGTAATATTAAAACTAAGCAGCTGCCGTCATTGTTGGAAACTGGAATTGGCTGGGCCGCGCTTTGAACTCTGCGATATCGTTTTTCAATTTTGTTGTCCGGGTGGAAAATCAGGAGATTTCCAGGAGGGGCACTGAAATTCGGGATTGTCCTGGAAAAATCAGGAGGGTTGGCATGTATGGTTGTGGCAACATCACCAACCTTGTCAAACACCTCAGAGTAAATCATGTCACAGAATATGACGAGCGTATGTTGAGGCGAACTGAAGAGGAGGACAGGGACTTAACTTAGCAAACTTACTTACAAACTTAGCACTAAAAAAGTAGACCATTTTGGCCGGTTTTGGAGCAGTCTGGGGGGATGGTGACCTATAAAATAAAGTTTAATATCTCAGAAACTGTAGCAGCACAAACGCTCATTTTACCTGCACAAATCTGCACAAACGTAGCACTAACCGCTCCGCCTATTTGCCTTTACGTTTCAAGTGGCTGGGGGGTCAGCTTCACTCTGCTCAGATTTTTCAAACTCGAGGGGTACAAAATGCAACACAAAAACTGACACGCGTGGTTTTATTCGCGAGCCAAACGTGTTTTTGCGACGCAAATCTGCTTGCAAATTTTCGCGGGACCCGCAAGCACGGCTCATCACGCTCCTACATTTACTTTACATGTAAACAAAACACAAGAAACAAAAGATGCTGGGGGTTGGGTTTGAGGTTATGACTATTGTTGTCATTATTTTTGTGCCTCAATAATGCTATGCTTTTTATTAAAAAGTGTTATAAAGTTATATAGTGTAGTATTAAGTGGACACAGCCCTGAAAAATAAAGGCATGAGACCACGTGTCCTTGAGAAGTAGAAAGCTGCAGACTCTCGCTCATGCTTGCCTGGGAAAATATAGATAAGAGGGAACATTGTCTGTGGAAATTTACTGGAATGCTGTTGTTTAGACTAAAATGAGAGAGCTTCTCTAATAAAACTGTTAGGGGCACACCACAATTTTCAGATCCGCGGCAGCGTGTCATGCAGGACGCATCTCCCTTCTAGAAGTAATAAAGTCTTAAATGGTCTACTGACCAGTGTTTTGTCTTCTATTGGATGCCTCTGAGGAATCAAAAGAACTCGGTAAAGTGTTGATATTTATACTATCTCAGCAGAAG